TTCGCTTTTTGTTCCCTATTTTGTTGGATGTTGCAACTACTGTAATATAAATTTGATAGCGAGAGAGCTATGCGTAACACTTTGTGTAATCACTGCAAATTTGTCCCCGTCGACGTAACTGGCAGCTTCTTCATTCTGTGCCTATATGCAAAGCCACATGTGCGTTCAGGTGGGTTATTCAACCACTCGCGACTTTACACTGTTCGCTTAGCAATGCATGGGTACTATTCAATATTCACCTTATCGAACTATAACTTTCGTTCCTTTTACACAAAAAGCTCTCAACTCATTTTCTGACTCAAACACTACTTTGAAGCCCACGAAAAACACGAACCCTACTAATTCTTTGAAGTATTTGTGACAGCAAGGTGCTGAATTCGCTGTGTAGAATCAATAAATGTAAGAACAACAGAAAGCATTGTGGTGGCATTGTTTCTGGCATTGTGGTGGCATTGTTTCTGGCATTTTCGTTTTTCCAGTGTGATTTGCAAGGGCTCAATCACACTGGAAAAACGAAAATATCACATGTACTTTGCCTGTGAAATGGAATATTTCAGATCAGTAGGGCAGTGTGTCGTTGTTGCATATGCAAATGGAGGGGGAAATGTTTCGGATGGCATCAAAATGCAAAGAAAAAAACAACGCTGAAATGTAAAAACCGGCTTCCAGTCGTTAAATTTGCGCAAATCCGAAAAAGAACAAAGAAGCGTGTTCGATTAGCTATATTTTTGGCACAGCATCACGCATGTCATTGTTAACTTAAATTTTATAAATTAAGCACTGGTACGAGGTCATGGAGTTTAGTACACAAATGTTCTGAGATCGGAAGTACACAAATCTGAGATCGAAAGAATACTGGGTTCTGTTCACCATCCGAAATCGCTAGGAGTACTTGGCGCGTCTACTATCTCAGCCACTTCAGTCACAAACGATTCTCCCAAAGGTTCTCCCTGAAAAGAAAAAAAAACTTGTAATCCATGCTTAATTCATTAAATAATTATCTTTTCCACTAGATGTCTCCATCAAACGTATCTGCAAATATCATCTAATAGCCAAAACGGTAGAAAATGAACGGATGAGCGCATACAAGTGATTTCTTGACTTGCGAGAAAATGACCATTCCGGACAGATTTCGAGGAGCTGGTGCACCTCCGTAGTGGGTTCATCGAAGAATAAGAAGCCGAGGACTCGACGGCGCTTCATTATTACGCCTAGCATTTGAAGCTATCTTAATAAGATCGAAAACTCAGTCCAGACAGCTCACACTTCACCATTTGCAGAGATATTTTATGTCTCTAATTGCTGAGGCATCTTCAATCAGCCAAAAACTCCAAAAGTCTTCTAACGGCTACAAGTTATTATTCAGTTTTACTGTTCCACCATTGTGAAGCAGACTAAAAAAAGTCTGAATCGCTTTGAAGCGCCAGAATTAATAATTTGTCAACCAAAAGGACTAATAAATCGTCACAGGATAGTCCTCCGTCTGGCATTCCCAAGCACTAGGATACCAGTAAGCCAAATCGGTTTCAGCTTACTTCTACAAAACTTCACAGCGTAAGAAGTAACTTGCAGGGATGTTCAAGACTGCTGAAAGTTTCTGTGTTCAATGCCACTATTAGTAAGACGCAAAGCGCCACTTTTCTTTTTTTTTTTGGAATTTCTATAACAGATGAATCAGTCTCCGAATTCATCGAAAATTTGAGTTTTTACCTCTAAATACGGTTTTTCTGGAGATTGTTCACTGGGCAGCTTATCTTTCCTCCTCTGTTCCTCAACCATTTTCATATAGCGGAGCATCAGTGGATCAATTTTTGAATGCCCCGGCGTAGCATCTCTTTCTACAACATCCTGGAACAAAGGGAATTAGTAGCTCTCCAAACGTAGAACAAAAGGCACCTACTAGATACAAAAAACGCATGAAAATTGAGCAGGTTTTATTTCCTGTTTTCCAGAAAACTGTAAAAATGAACTGTCGATTTTCGAAGCTCACCACTTTTTCAGCATTTTGAGAAGCTTGCAACTTTTCCAACGCTTCTTCGCTTTGCGG